GTACGGCTTCGAGGTCGAGTAGTGATTGATTGTGCAGTGTGTCGCTTGGACCGGTCACGGCTCGCGGCTGCGTCGAGTGCAAGTTTCGAACTTGCGCATTGTCGCGGTGTTAAGTCGTAGTGACTCAGTGTCAGATCGTGGCATCACGCCGTCTGGTTTTCACGCCGCGGCAATGGTTCGTGGCGTTGGAGGGTCTTCCTTGGTTTGCTAAAAAGCGGCGTCACCTCCGTACGTCGCTGCCATCAATTTCCCTGGCAAGGGTTTGAAGGTCGCCTTCCTGTTCTATAGAAACGCGCTGATCGTGGCGACTGGGTGCGGCGTGATTGAGGTGAAGGTGACCTGGGGTGGGACCGCGCTTGTCCTTCCATTTCCCTCAGATATGCCTCGATTTCATGTAGCCGCTGGCCTGGAAGGGGGCGGGGGCGTTGGCGCTGAAACCCCGTAGGCCCATTTGGTGGTTAAGGGCATGTTCGGAGTTTGTGGCCGGGTGCCTCACAGTGGAAGCATAACGGGTGTTGGTTTGGTGTCCGCCAAAGGTCAGCCTTCTTTGCTGTGGTGTCATGATAAGCCATAGGTCGGCTTTGCAGCGGCGGTCGTGGTAACGGCGTGTAGGGCTGGGGCGGCGGTGACGGTGTGTACATATCTGTGCGCGTGACCAGAGGCATCTGGCTACGAATGGCATCGGCATAAGTCATCACTGCGGGCCTCGGTACTGGTTGCAAGACCATCTGGGTCGGAAATGCTGTTTCGAGCGTCTGATGCAGCTTGTCGCGAATGATGCTTGTCAGAGGTGCGACATGTGGGCTAGCCGCAGGGAGCAATTCCTGAAGTTCTTCGCAGATTATGGTCTGTATGGTAGCACGAAGACTATGAGCGTCGAGTGTATCGAAGTCCACGTTGCCTGAAGAAACAGCTGGCAAGCTGCGGTTGTATTGTCTGGCTCACAGGTCAAGTGTTTTTTCAATCGTTGCTGCCTCTGTCACAAATTCTGCAGCTGTATTCGGCGGGTTGCGAATGAGGCCGACGAACAACTGTTCCTTCACGGCTCGCATCAGGTACTGGAGTTTCTTTTCCTCAGCCATATCGTCGTCTACGTGTCGGAAGATTTTCTGCATTTCTTCGACAAACACAGTTACAGGCTCATTATGGTGCTGCTGACGGGTCTGGAGCATGGCTTCAGACTGTTCTTTTCGGTAGGCATGTGGGAATGTATATGCCAGTCGTCTTTTAAAAATGTCCCAAGTGGTCATGGAAGTCTCCTGGTTTTCATACCAAGTCGCACGACTTCAGCTTCGGGCAGATTCTTCGAGAAAGAAAAAGACGTTGCGCAGCTTGTCTTCTTCAGATCACTTGTTATACGATGGAACTCTCTCGAACTTGTCCAGTCATTCTTGCGAGTTCTCGCAGGCGAAGTCATGAAACTTCGGTGGTTTCTTTGGTTTTTGAAACGTAAACGTAGCCGGAGCAGTGGCGTTTGTCATCGTTGTTGAAGGATGGGCTGCCACGTGTCGTTCAGGGTCTCGCAACAGTCCGTACTCCGGAGGCAGTCCCAGGCGCCTTTGACTGGTTCGGATTTCTCACGAGTTCTCTACCTTCACTGCTTTGGTGCGGTCATTTTTGCATAAAGGGCTAGCCTCACGGCTTGAAGGGGGTCTTCCAACCATAAGCACCTCCACCAAATGTCACACTTACGTGACGCTCTTGGCTCGTAAGCACGGAGACGAGGCGACTTGAAACAAAATAAACTTTATTTGAGCGAATTTGTGCCCATAAAAGAATTGCGTGAAAAGACTGTCGGTGGCCTCGCAACGGCCTGCCCGGTTCAGCGTCGGCGGAAGGAATACCCGTGCTCTCTTCACCGGTACGCATCAGATATCACGTGGTCCCACTGCTTATCAAAGACTTGCCCAGCGCGGGAGTGATGGAACGACGCGTTACCGATGCCACACAGTAGATAAGCTGAGGACGGTGCTGCGCGACGAAGTCGGCACCAACATAAATTCACCTGGCATTATAAACACCGTCTGGCACAGGTGGAACAAGGGAGATGCCTATGTAATCAGCTGTTCGTTAAGGGAGACGGTAGTGTGATAGCTGTCGGAATTGGAAGAGGGTGATGAGAGTGGAGCCGCGACTTCGATTTCCCTGCAGACAATACGAACATCACCAGGATTTTTCATAGAAGGCAGGCGAAGGTCTTCGCACGTAGATTTTGCAGCCATGTTTGGGAGATGGGCAAACTGGTGGAGAACACGGCGACTCTATAACTGAATCTTACTGACATTTACCGATGCTGCTTTTTGGGTACTTTAGTTTTCGAGCAATATGCTGGCCTAATAACATGTGTGTCTTCGAAGGACAGTAGAAAAAGCGATTTCTTGAATTCATGTCTAGCTTTAGGACTAACACAATTAGTCAATATACCTACAGATGACAGTCATAACTCCCTTCGTATTCTTGACCTTGTTTTCATTTCAGAACTTGAAAAAGTGTCCCCGATAACGTTATACCAGGGCTCAGTGACCACTTAGTAATACATGCGACCTATTCTTGTAAACTACTGCATTTAACAAAAAAAAAATATAACATTGTATGATAAAGGCGATTATTCTGCTCTAAACTCGGAGCTCAAACAATCCACAACTTTTTTTTCTTACCGACCTTTCAAAGCGTTCGCTTAAAAAAAATTGGCTACTGTTCAAAAACAAAATGTTGGATCTATTTTCTAAGCATGTGCCCAAAATTACTGCAAACGAGAAAAAGTCATCCTCGTGGTTTAACACCACATTGAAACGTTTAAACAATAAAAAGATGGCTATTTCGATCAGAAAAGTGGTTCAATAGCGCATGCGCATGGAACAGCTACTACGCTGCAGAAAAAGAATTCGAAAGACTTGCTGCCAAAGAAAAGATAATTTTTTTTCACAAACACTGCTCGCTTTGTGAAGCAACAATCCCAAAATATTCCAGAACACAATTAACCACAGCAACGCCCAACCATTACCACTGCACAATGATCAGAACCATCCAATTCCTGATCATGAGGCTAGTGAACAACTAAACAGTTTTTTCTTTTCCATTTTTACCGTTGAACCTGTTGACTACTTGCCTTCATTTCATAATTGCAACCATAGTGTGATGGCTAACATCACATTCTGCCCAAACGGCATCGCTGAACTAATAGAGTCATTAAAACTCTCAACTTCATGTGGCATCGATGGTATCAACGCAAAAATGCTTTGCCATATTTTTCAGCCGGCACTATCATCGGGAGTGGTGCCAGAAGACTGGAAAGTGGGCAAGATTGTTCCAGTCCCCCAAAAAAGGTCCTTCATGTCTCTGCAGCAGCTATTGCCCAATTTTCCTTACTAGCGTTTGCTCCAAGCTAACGCATCATGTGATATATATTCTAACATTGTCAAGTTCTTAGCCAGCAATAATTTTTTTCATTCCAGTCAGCATGACTTTTGCTCAGGATTTCCATGTGACACGCAACTAGCTCTATTTTATCCAGATATGAGTACTAATCTTGATTTAAACGTACCTGTTGACACCCTCTCCTTAGATTTCGAAAAATCCTTCGCCAAGGCTTCACATAACCGGCTACTGCTAAAAATTTCTCGTTTAAACATTAATACAAATGTATTTATTTGGATTTGAAGCTTCCTTACCAATCGTCAACAGTTTGTCACAGCTAACTCTGTCTCATCTAGCCTTTCCTCTGTAATCTCTGGTGTGTCGCAAGGTACAGTGCTCAGACCATTACTTTTTCTCATTTATATCAATGACCTTCCATCAAACATGTATTCTAGCACTCGCCTCTTTGCAGACGACTGCGTCGTATACCATTCCATAGCAAATAGTGCAGATATTATTTCACAAAACGACCTCAATCTTATACTATCTTAGTGTAATATGTGGTTAATGTTTTTAAATGTAAAGGAAATTTCATTGGTATCTTTTCATTGCAGGTTTCATTACCAGTCAGCAGAATATACCATTTCCAGGCTCCGCAGTCTCATCCGCTATATGCTACAAATATCTCGGCACCACATTCTCAAGTAACATTTCCTGACCACCTCATGTTACGAATATAGTCATCTCCATGAACCGCACTCTGGGTTTTCTACGTAGAAACTTAAGACTTGCAGCCCCATCAGAGAAATTAATATTGTATACTACCATTGTTCATACGAAATTAGAATATGCATGTTCTATCTGGGATCCCCATCAATCTAACTTATCAAACGTTCTAGAATCGATCCAATACCATGCTGCACGCTTTATCTACTCTGAATATTCTTACAAGTCCAGTGTCTCCAAACTTGAAACCCTAGCTCACCTTTGTGATCTAGAATCACGCCGTCTCATATCTCGACTATACCTTTTTCACAAGTTTTATCATGCTCCCATCGAAATGCCCGCCATCCTGCCAGTCCATCACACATGCAGCCACACAAACCATGCGAAAGCTGTATACCCTCCGCCAGCACAAACCATCGCCCATCTTCGCTCTTTTTTCGTGTCAACCGCACGAGCCTGCATTTACTGTGCACCATTCCGACCCTCATCAATACAAGATTGCCCTCGAGTCACTACTTTTCAGTGATTAATAATACTTATCTCTCATGTAATACCCCACCTGGGGCCTTTGAGGCATTCAAAATCAATCAATCAATCAATCAATAAATAAAATGTCCAGCTACCCAATTACTGATGAATCCTCTAGTGCAAGTATGAGTTGTAAGAACATCACAACCACTATGACTACATAACCTGATATAATTGTGCGCCACGTTCATAACAACACACCTTCACACACTTGTGCATGTGCTCGTGAAGCCCTTTTGCACAGCATGGTTAGTTGATCAAAAAATGATTTCGCGAATCAAGAAAAGTACTGCATTTCATTAACTACGTAGGTGTGACAATGTAAGCATTACAAAATGGGCATGTGTACGTGGGTGAAGTTGGAATGGCCGCCATGATTGACAACTTGCCGAAGCCTAGTGCGAATCCAGCAGAGCCCCAAAGGGGTCGTAGTGCGCTGGGACGAGCCCGGTGCTGAGTCAGGAGACGCTCAAAGGCGCGGAGATGCTCCTTCTCCTGCTCCCACATGTGCTGGACGACGGGGTCGCGACCCAGCACGCACATCTGCGCAAAACGGCCACAGCATTTGCATCACAGCAACTCTCTGCACGGGGCACTGTGTGTACGCACCTGGCCAGCGTAGATGCGGTCGGCGCCCAACTCTCCGGCGAGGTCCACACGAAGAATGCGGTCGTAGAGGAGACGGCGACGACGACGCAACGACGCATCGTCGCTCGACCGACGGGTCGATGACAACAAGGCCGCCCTGAAATTACAGGCCTAGCTTAGGAAAAATCGCTTATTTCATCGCATGCTTCTATCAACTGCAGCAATGGTGCCATTGGCAGTCCCATAAGTATGGACGCTGGATGCACCCATACCCATTTCTACCTTTGCTGTCAAGGCACTGGACTGGCCTAGTTGGTAAATCGCTAGAGCGAACAAAAACCAGCGTTAAACAGTAGACACAGAGAAAATAAAGTGACGAGAACAACGTGGCCTGCGCCCGGTGTTCTTGGCCCCGTGAAAGTTTAGTGGTGTGTGGAGCTGTATCAACACGTATGAGCAGAAAAGGGCCACATGTCCCATAAATCGCGTTTTGAAATTTGCGCCTTGCACTACTCATGTGATCTATCACATGCTTTTATCATAAGGTTAAACACTCATCAGCCAGCCAACGCAAGGCCTCCTTCCTGTGAGTGACAATGCTCAACATCTGCCAAAGTTCTTGTGGTTCCCTGAAGCGGCACTTTACTTTTTCGAATAGAGATTTTAATTACTCGGGCCCAAAAATGAAGCCAAGAACTGGCTGGAATATTGCTCAAGTTACCGATAAAAGCAGTGCCAAATGAGTGAAAGTAGAGAATACTCGTCACTGGCCAGAAGTCCTCAGCGAACATTTCACCCACCTCCAAACTTCCAGGTAAGCAACATCGCAAAAAAAGCGTGGTTCTCAGCTTTACATGTTTGGTAGTTGCAGCTTGGCATGATCAAATGGTTCTCATGAAGATCCAACATAAAACAAACTTTTACATTTGTTTGATGTAGAAGTCTCCCCAGCATTTTTTGTTTCTTTGACCATATTGTACGCCATGTTACCCCGAATATTTCCACCCTCGCATGTGAAGGTGAAAGAGCGAAAGCGAACCTGTTTAACACTTGTGGACAGCTTCGTGAAACCATCGCAGTATGGTCTCTTTGCCAATCCCAAGGTGCCCTGGCTATCTTTGCGAAAACACGCCTTCACGCTTTGCCGTCTTGTTTAGCGAGTGTCTGAGCTATGCATAGATACAATGAGCAGTGAGCACAAATAGGCAAGCAGATGACAATAGCAGGTTCCACGCTTCTCGCGTCTGCCACTCTGGCATGGCAGTACGGCCGCCGTTATGTAGGTGGTGCTGTCACGACGTTTATCGGCGCTCCTCAGAGTGACACAAACATGGCTCGCAAAGGAGCCCAGTTTTCCCTCCTGTCTACTCTTCCTCCGTGACCAACCCTACTGAACCTCTAGCCCTGGGTCATGTAAGTTGTGCCGGAATAAATATAATACCATTATCTGGTGTTGTAGCAATGTTACTAAGGAGAAACCTTCACGTGGCCCTGACAACATACCTAGCCTTTTTCTTCATTGATATGCTGAAATACTAGCTGCGTACTTGGTCATTATTTTCAATTAACTATTGATGACAGCTACCATTCTTGAGAACTGGAGAATACTTAGCATTCTACCAGGGCTAAAAAAGGGTGACTATGCATTGCTGACAAATTACAGACCAACATTTTTAACCGCACCTTGCTGTAAGCTGCTTGAACAAGTTATCACCAATCATAAGCCGAGTTTCTTAATGGAAATCATATACTATCTTCATTTCAACATTGTTTTAGGAAAGGTCTTTCAACAGTAACTCAGCTAACCCCAGTTGTTGATAACTTTGCCTCTGTTCTAGATAAATCCAACCAGATATAATCATATTTGTAAACTTCAGAAAAGCGTTTGAACTAGTTCGTCATGCAGAACTAATTCTAAGTTTGAAAATCATAGGACTACTGGACATCATAGTTGCTTAGGTTTCACCATACCTTACAAACTACACACAGTTTTAGTATGGGCAATCATTTTGCAAAACATTTTCCTGTCAACTCTGCAGTTCCACATAGAAGCCTGCCCACACTTATTTCTGTTATGTGTTATTGATATCGTCAAGGTGAATAATGAACCTGTTCATATTAGACTCTTTGCAGATGACTGCTGGCTGTTTAATGAAATTAAAGGTCAGAGTAATGAAGGAATCTTAAATACTAACCTGTGGAACACATATATGTAGTGTCAAGAGTGGGAGACGCAACTTAAGGCTGAAAAAATAGTATTTAGAACATACAATAAGAACATGTTATTTTTATGTGTAGTCTTCCATTACAAGAATTAACGAAGGTAACTCATTACAGATACCTCGGCATCACAAGAACTAATGCGTTCAGTCGAAAAGCATATATTTCGTACATTTGCTCATCTGCATTTCGTAAGCTATGCTAATACACCACCTGACGTCAAACTTCTCGCATATTTATCTATTATAAGATCCATGCTCAAATACACATCCACTGTTTAGGATCCTCATACTAAACAAAAAATATTGATACACTAAGCATGATCCAACAAAAATTTGTGAGATTTATTTATTTCAGATATTGTCACTGGCTTTCCAACTAACCTATCATTATGGAATAAAAACATTGCACTTACGACAGAAAATAGCCAGAATATACTCAAACCTCGATATAATGAATCTAGATATTACGAATTATTGAATATAATGAAGTGAACGATGAATAGTTCCGTCATAGTTTCACCGCTGCAAATACTTGTTTATAAGAAATTTTTGGATATAATGAAGTATTTTAGTGGACAAGTGTGACACTGCTATCATGAAGTTTAATGTAAAAGCTCTCTTCCTTCTAAAACAACACAATTGATTAAGCAATCCTGTACCTTACGTAATGCCATTGACATTACGAACTACAAGGAATCGATGTGGAGAATCTGTACAAAAACTAATCTTCTCGAGTTCTCTTTTTCTCCCAAAAATAATCAATTGGAAGTCATTGTCTTTGTCATCACTTCAATCAGTAGAAACAATATAAAATTGCCAGGACTAATGTTACATTGTGTTATCTGTTCTTGTTTGTTTGTGCATTTTCCTATATATTTTTTTACTATGTTTCTTTTGTGAATGGCTTGATTTCTATTGACAGTGCATGTAAGGAATGAAATCTCTGTTCATTTCTATTTTCATTTACTGTATGAAAATGTGTCTATGTATGTACGTATTACCTTTCTAAGTACATTTTTTGCCTCTCCTGCTAGAGCCCAAATTAGGCCTGCCATATCTTGTAAATAAAAAAGTACATAAAATAAATTATCAAAAAATCTCCACCATCCACTGTGCTTGCTGTTATTCTCTATTGATAGAAACATTTTCACAAGAAACTTGGGAAACGATTGAGTTCTGCCTCAATACAGTGAAATGATGTTGCAAGAGGTGTGATGTTACACTTTCCATGAAGCGTTAGTGCTTCAATAAGTTACATCCGCCAAGAGAACTTCGGTATTTATGCCACATGGGCCTAGCGTACCCTGCACTCTTGGATCAGACTAGCTTTCCCGTAGCAAGGTTGAGAACCTAGCGTACTTTTTAAAGTACAGTATTATAAATTTTGAGAAAAAAAGCCATGAAATTATATAAAAATTTGCATTTGTTGTTTTCTATTGTAGTTAACTAAACATGCAAAATCTGATTAGAATACAATCAGTAGTTTTTGCGTGGCCCTCAATGGGTCAACTTTCTATAAGCCTAGTCGTTTTATCAAATCTGTCACATTAGTGCAAACACACTTGCATACAACGACGGTGCAGCTGCTAGTTGAAACTGATGTGGTTGTGAGTTGTCACTCGTGGTGCTGGTGGCGCGTAGATGCAGTAAAGTTCCTAGAAATATGGACTAGCTGTTGCGCCACCTGTAGGTGCAACAGTCTTGTAAGCAAGCTGTATTTTGTATAGGCAAGTTGTATAGTGTAAAAAAAGAAGAAATACCGACGACAATTATAGCACTTTAAAACAACCAAGACGATTCGGCTCCTGCACGGGAGCCTTGCTTACAGTTAAGTGTAAAAGTCAGGCACGTTTCAATAGGTTCTGCAAGCATCAAGCATACAAATGAGCAAGTTTCCCTTGTTATGGCTGACGGTACGCTCTGTTGTCTGTATTATCAGTAATTGCAGATTAACACGTGAATAGAATTTTTTTAGTGTTTTTCAATGATGCTGACGTTGTCCCAATTGATTGCATGTGCAAATATTTCTGCATGTTCCACCAAAGCATTACATGAAGCATTCATTTTCATGATGTCGTAGCGTGTTGTTTCACTCTGCTCCTAATTTCCCATTTTTCACTTAATTTTACCAGAGAGTGATCCAGCTTTTGTCCTAGAGTGTGGCTAACTTGCCCATTGTATCTGCTAAATGGGATAAAGATTCGCCGATTCCAGGCACACAGGGCACCAGTGCTAGCTTTTTTGGAGGCGCATACACTTGGCGTGCAGAGCATAATAGTATACCTAACTGACAATATATGGAGTTGTATATTTATATCAAGTTTCAATAATAACTGACACTTGCAAGTACACCCGAGCTGAACAAAGGACTTTTCAGTGTCAGCTTTTTGCATTTTTCAAGTTGCCTGACACCCACATACTTTCTTTTCTTTCACCTGCTAGGCATCTGCGCAGAAAAGTGCCTCAATGGGGGAAAGTGCGTCCAAAAAGATACCTGCTCCTGCCGACGCGGGTACTATGGGCCCCGTTGCGAATACAGTAAGTCAGCATACGTTCCAATCCTTTGCGGTATTGAGTATGCAAACCTCTTAACGGGGACTTTCAATGTTGCCACAGTGCTACTAAAGGAATGAATTCTCACTTTTGTTTCTGTGAGTCCACCACTTTCAGAGCAGTCATGTATAGTAACAAATCAATAAATAGAAATAATTCTGCTATTCCTGCATACCATAGTTTTGCACTGCTTAATTTCAGCAATTGTGCAAGATGCCTGCAAGGAAGGGCAATGAGTGTGGCAATTTCTTAATAGCCTTCTGCCACATTCTCCCATTTTCTTAACTACAGCTTTTCTAGCATTTTTTTAAGATAGCACACACCAGCTACGGGGAACCGGGGTTTTTCACAGTTGGCACAGCAAATTCACAGCCCAATGGGAAGGACATTGGCAATTAAAAAACAATACAAACTTTATTATATCCTTTAAAAGGTGATGTCTTGTGATATTCATATTTTGTATGCTTTGTCTTCATATTGTATGCTTAGAGTTAATGATGAATATCAGCAGTCCTTGTGGATAGGAGAGAATAAAATTTTTTAGAAACTCTTACAGTAACCCTCTACTGTAATGCTTGGAAATGAGATGCAGGTACCCGATAAATAAATAAACGTGTCATAATTACTAGCTGGAATTCTCTTGTGCCTTCCTTCAGGAAACTGAACGTTATGCTTAGTTAGATATGGTGAGCTCTTGGGCTAGTTGGTTGGACATCATTCCTGCTTAGGAGAGTACGGATTTGCTTAGGAAAAGAATACATGACAGAAAGGATGCTCACTTGCAACTGAATTTGTTTGAGAAAGCTTCATGCTAGAAAAGTGTATCCACAGACGCATTCGCAACAGACACTGTCACGAAGAAGTTTTTCCAAACTGCTGGCCAAACCCAGTAACAATCTGAAATTTTTGACAGAAAGGGGTACATTTATTTGTTCAAAGATTTAACTGCTGTGAAGAAATTCAATTTTTTTTCATGGTTCCTTCACAGCAGTTAAAGGGGGGGTGTCATTAAACTTTAAGGCTAAAACAAGCCTCTTGTGGGTTTCCTTTGTATGCTAGGACACTCCACACGAACGGTCAGACGCTGTAAGTGTTTAGAATATATTTTAATTCACCCCTAAGTTGTTCCCAAATGCTCATTCTTCCGACCAAAGGCCATTGCAAGTGCGTCCAGAACTAGCTCTTTTGGAAGGGCAACAAAAGTTGTAGTGATGTCACACCAGATCTGTAGTGAGCGTAGGCGTGCTGTTATGACTGGCAGAGCAAGGACATAGCCATGCAAGAGACAGTCATCGGTGAGCCCTTATAACGCGGTCTGCGTCCAGCAGCAACGCGAGAGGCGTCCGTGTGCAGCACATCAAACGCGCATTGACGTTGCTAAGATGCGCAGTCGACGTTGAACAAAAAGGGCGTGCACAGACAAGGGTATAAAAAGCGCGTCGCTTGTTCGTTCAGTGCTCTTTCTCTGCCCTTCGCTTGGGCCTGTAGTGTCTAATGTAATGGCACGTCCCGTCGCCTAGTCTATTGAACTCCTGTAAATATGTAAATAAATTATGGTGTTTGTGTCGTCAAGAAGCCTCGCAAAGGTTCTCCTTCCCTGGCGCCTCAGTGACTGCCTGTAGCCCGCTCCTCAGTCACATCAGGGTGAAGGTTTCCCCTCCAGGAGGAAGAAAGGTTCACCGCAGCGCTACCCCTTCCTCTTAGGTCAATGTGTGGGTTTTACTATCCACAGACGCAGTGCCCCCTTGCCATTATGTCAATGTGTGGGGCTGTGTTTGCGCACCCCTTCTTGTAGGTGAGTATAGGAGTGGCCACCCGTGTCCCATGCACACGTCTACATTGGTAAGGGGAGGAAAAGTAATACTTTATCCAGATAAAAAGTCCCCAGATGGGGGCCATGGCTAGGAGGGCTCCACCTTACAGGAGCCTATTGGCATTAGCCGCTTTCCGGGCATGCATGGCCAAGGCCTTTTGGCTGGCCAGCTCCGAGCAGTCGAGCAGGGTCGCTTCCCAGTCCTCTCGGGTGAGATGGGGTAGGAGGGAAGGTTCAGTGTTAGCTGACATTCCCACGCAATGTGGAAGATGTTCGAGGATCCTTCCCCACAGGATAGGCCCTGAACACCAGAGTCGAAATCTGAGCTATTGGGCACAGCATGGTTTTCATGTAGAGGCAGAGAAGTAAACTTTTCTTCTCTTTTGAGAGTCCTTTACAGGGCTTATGAAAAGTTTTATGTTTTGCTTGGTAGTATTTGGTGATTTCCTTAAATGTAAAGACTGGATTGAAGTCGAAGTCCGTATCAGAGTGAGTTGGGGGCATGGCTCGGTAAGTAAGCCCTCAGGCCGTGGCCTTTGCGACTTCATTACTTTTGAGACCCACGTGTGCAGGTGGTGCGAAGGTGCTCCAGTGTAGTCGCTGTCCTGTAAAATTTTATAAGCGTGGTATGTGGTGTACCATCTTTCGATATTTTTGCAGGCTACCCGTGAGTCAGTAATGATGACTATCGAATCCTGGTCAGCGGCTGGAGCCTGATGGCCATTTCCTTGGCATATGTTATATCTCGTGTTTCGAAAGCAAGTCCATTTATTACAGTGTTTGGGTGGACGACCGCGGCCGTGTACCATCCCCCAGGGTGTGGGCCGGAGGCATTCAAGTAGAAAATGCCGTGTTTGTCCTCGTAGTACTGCGCAAGAGCTTTCTTTGGCTCTTGCAAGGTGCCGACCACTATGGTTTTCTCGTGTTATGTTCTTGGGAAGAGGGCATGTGTTCAGATATCTGGGAGACATACACGCTCGTCCTCTAGTGTTGGGTGATGAATGTGCAATTTGGCAAGGAGGTGGCGCCCTGACTGTGATTGTGAGAGTCTGGTGTATTTGTTTGTTAGGTGCGCTTCCTTAAGCTCCTCAAAGGTGTTAGTCATTCTTAGGTTGAGTAGGCAGTGGTTGGCTGTGTTAACTAGAAGTTAGAGGGCTCGCTTGTAGATTTTCTGCAAATTCACCTTGATAAAATTTTCATCGAATTTGCAAAGGTGTAGGTACGGGGGCTCGAGTACAGAACACGGCTTGTTACGAAAGCGTGCGCTAGCCTCAAAGCGTCTTTGCATCATAGTCTGCCACATTTGTTCGAAACCTGTCTAATCATGCGACCTGCTTGGTCACTGACCTTACGTAATTTGGTCACCGTTTTGTCTATCTTGCGGTGTTTATGTATGAATAGGCCGAGGACTCTGACCTCATCACGCTCGAAGATGGGTCTGTTCGCTAGGAATAGTTCAATATTGTTATTACATTGCCGTGTAAAACGAGTGTGTACAAACTCCAATTTTCTTGGGGAACAATGAAGGCCACAGCGGTGAGCGTAGGTTTCTACAATTGGCACCACTCTCTGGGGGTCGGCTTCAATTTCAGCTACTGAACTGTGCTTAGCCTAAATTATTATATTGTTGGCATACAGTGTAAGCTCTACGCAACCTTTCACTATTTCAATTGAGCTGGTAGTTTCATCATTGCTAGGTTGAGGACTGCACCCTGTGGTGTGCCCCTCGTGCCCAACTTGTATGGACCGTAGTCTTTGTTTTGTATTTGTATGTAAGATTGTCGCTCCATTAGAAATTGCTTAACGTACTGAAAATTATTGTGACCACAGTTAGTTTGGGAGAGGTGCGTTATTATCGCTTCTTGAGCAGCATTATCGAATGCTCCTTTCAAGTCTAAGGCCAGTACCATCTTGTCGTTGAGGGGATATTCGATGGGGTTTATGATTTTGCGGTCAAGCTGGAGTAGTACGTCCTGTGCAGCACTGTGAGGGTGGAAGGCAAACATTGTGTTTGAAAAGATGTTTAAATTTTCTGAATAGTCAGATAGCCCACCCCATACCATTGTCTCCATTGATTTTCCTGAGCAAGAGGGAAGGGAGATCGGCTAAAGGCTATCTGTGTTTACGGTTTTGCCAGCTCTGGGAATGAATGCAACTAAAGCTGTTTTCCATTCAATGGGTAGTGGTGTTTCTCCGCACCAAATCGAATTTATGTATTCTAGGAGTGTTTTGTTGGGCAATATGGGAGGTTGGCTAACAGCTTCACCATTACATTGTCTTTTACGGGTGCTGCCCGCGTATAATTTTCCTTAAGAATGCTTTCAAGTCGTAAAGTTCGAAGGGCCGATCTAGTATTGACAAACCCTGCGTATGAGTTTGCAAGTTCTTGTGAGTCCTGGTGTGTGCACAGGCACTGATCCCGCAGTTTATTTTCAAAATCATGTATGGCTTTTTGGCGATGTTTTTGAGTTTCTGTTCTGGTTTGTGTATGGTCGATTAGTGCTCGAAACAAGTGCCAGATGTTTTTCATGGAGATTTGTCTCGCTGCCGTATTGCACCTGTCCACCCAGTTGGAGTCGGCAAGTTGCGCGGCATATTGCACTGCTTCTTGGGTGATTTTGGTCATGTGTGTTTTGAGTCTCTTGTTTAGTTTTTGTTGTTGCCATCTGCGCACTAGGCTGTGACGTGCCTCCCAAAGGTGGAGTAGATGGCTGTTCACCTCTGGAGTTGCCTCGGATAACTAGATTTGAGTTTCAATTTAGTTGAGATGACCAACAAGTTTATGAGCACAAGTCTGATATGCTTGTTCTTGAACGAGAATCGAGGTTATGTATTCTTGTCAGAATTTTGTCCATCTGGTAGACGAGCTTTTGCATAGGTTTTCGTTAGTGCTTTGGTTCTGATCGTGATGTTAAGCATGCAGTGATCATTACCCAAGGGTTTCCTCGGTGTTGATCCATTCTGCTTGTTTGATGTCCTTAGTGAAAGTGAGGTCCGGGCACGTGTTCCGGGTTACTGAGTTTCCCCTTCATGTTGGGTATACAGGGTCAGTGTGGAGAGTGGGACCTAAAGTGGACGTAAGTCCTGCTAGCATGCGCTCACATTTTTCATTCGGTTTGTATCCACAGAACGTACTGTTGGTGTTGAAGTCACCCAAGATTACTGGGGCTCC